TTCGATACGCGAATGTGAGATGCGGTAGGATATTCATCGCGTTTTCAGTAGGAAAACCTTGAAGAATCTTCGTAATAATGGAGAACAAGTATGCGGGAAGTGGTAGAGAAAGGCGTTAATGGTAGGATATACCTGAAAATCATCACACGAACAGCATCTGTTCAAAATATCATCAAGGAAAGCCTTAAATGGTGAGGCACTGTATCAGTACCAACGGACCTATGCTAGAAACAGTCAAATTAGCAATATAACTGCGATCAGTTCGTTCGCCGTAAGTAGTTTTGCGTCTAAATTAATTTAGTTACCGGTGTTTTTTTATATCATATAGTTTGCTCATTCCGTATTCATATCCAGCTGCACCAGAACAATAAATTACTCCATACGGTACCGTATGTTAAAATGTTAACGCAGATGGTTTACAAATAAGCAATATAGTTGTTTTGCAGATATTCATCATTCAGTTTTAGTGAATTAGAATAACTGTTCAATACGCTGCGGTACAGCTAGTCATGTTCAGTTCATGCATGTTCAGTTTTTCAAAAAAATGGGGAAACTGAACATCGGATATATTCAGAACAGGTGTAAAGTTTCAAAAGTTGTATTTGTATCCTGTTTGCTCTTAGAAATTGGTGATATTGAAGGATAGTCTACTTGGTTAACAAAAATAGCAAAATATAATGACATGATCTAACATTTTAAGATATATGTACAATAATTGACTGTCGATGCATGTGTTTTATACTAGTAGAATGTTCCATAATATATTCCAATGAAAAAATAGTTTTCAGTAATGAACCGAAAAATGTTGTTTTTCACTTTCCCAACTTTTGTTTACTGCTGTCGATATTTAACACTATAAATACCACTGGAATAATAAACAAGGCCATGGGAAGGGAATTATATTTTATTACTGGCATCGCACAAATTGATAGATCCTAAATTTTTTAAGGAAGATTCAAAACATTGTAATAACATACTTGCTCTTTAGACTCGAGGCAGCCACCCCTCTCTTTTTCCTAAAAAATTCCAATACACAGCTCAGACAAGATTAAAATTTTCTTTCAAAATATCACAATTCACCTAATTTTATACTGGAATACATTTGGTACTTCTAACCAACTTCTATTGTAGATACACTATCTGGAAATGAGATCAATTTAGTCTTGAACCAATTTCTTGTTTTTGTTTAGGTGTTCTCATTGTTGATTAAACTCCCATCAATGTAATGAAATGTCTGCTCGAAGGCACATTAGTTTTCATTGAAAGTCGCTAATTACTATTCTGACAAACTGTCAGATGAACTCTTATGCACAAGTTTGATATATTTGATATTGTTAAAATAATTGAATCATAAAAATAAATTGTTGTAAAAACGGGCTATAATATAATTTTTGCAATGCCAAAAGATTTCAAGTAATGAACACAATTTTATGCTGTTTTATTTGCCCAAAATTCTAAAGATGTATTTACATAGGCTACCTAGGGCTAGGTTATGCTATATATATCGATGCATAGAAGTGGTTATGCTATATATATCGATGCATAGAAGTTTTTTATCCATAACCTCTTCAAGGTTTCCTAATTTGAGAAGAATATGTTATACAATATTGTTATTTTGTTATTAAAATGTGATTGTAACATTGTCATAAATCACCAAAAACCTCACAGAGAAATGATTTCTTACAGGATACGTTACGTCACGTTTTTTTAGGCATTTTGCTTAGTAGATATCATGTTAATCAGATTAGACTACTGCTAGGTACAGTATGAATCATTAAAAATACAGTCGTATAGGTGCCATGAAAATCCTTCAACACCGTGAGACTACATGGCTACTCTGCAGTAAAATACAGGTTCGGTACTGAGTAACGTACGGGTACCGCTACTGTTCCACGTGGCAACCATTCCAAATCAACAAGTACCGGCGTTTGTTAAAAATACCGGCTTTTTCGTAATCTATTTAATTTGTTCTGTCTTGTAATACCTACAAGAATTCAAAATGTCTTTCTATTTCAATTCAGTTGTGTTCAAGGTAACTCGCTGTTGCGGCGACTCATGTCAAAATAAACTCATTACCGATCTAAAATACCACGCCGATCCGCGGACATATTAAAGTGTGATCAACTGCCCGATTATATTTAGTTTTGATATACCGGTATATTGCACTCATGCGAATTCGTTGTCTTCATTAGAAAGATCTGGTATATTATTTCAGAAAGTATATTTAATTTAGTACAATTAAAATACCTATTAATCGACTCGAAATCCCCGCGGTACGGATCCTGAGTCAGTCCTCGAGATTACGCCAGTCGTTATAAGAGCCGACTTTGTCAACGGATATGTAATGGTTTTCCTGTTGAATAAAATATTCAATTCATGACCGATATATACACCTATTTAAAATGGTTGCTTTATTCATTTAATTGTGATAAATTAAATCTGCGATTGCGTCGATAAAATAAAAGCACCACTATTCCAAAAGACCACGGTAAACCGCAATCATAAAAATGTGTGGCAAAGTGCCCGATTACACTTTGTTTTGATTTGTATTCTTGCCAATTTCACCATTATGAGCTGTCCCTGCAAACTCTTACTCCGCTCTATCGCAATGCTCGATTAATTTTAACACCGTTACAGAAATTCCTTAGTCTGCGATAAAATCCCACGGAGTAAAATTTATTTCAAGTCGGTAGTTTTAGAACACTACTGGTGTGCGCAGGCACAAGGAATTTATAAGATTTGCAATGTCTAAGAAAGTGTTTTTAATCTGTCGCGGTCAACCCCAAAACAAAACTCCTGGTGTTCTCCGTTTTATTTTAGTATTTATATTCTCGCTTTCACGATAAAGAAATATTTGGTTGCAGATTCACTACTTTATTCTATTCTATCTTTAGCATCTCGTCGCTGATGATTATATAATAAAAACTAACTCGCATTCCTCAAAGGTGTCATGGTTCCAATCGAGAACAAAAAAAGTAATTATAATCGTCTTTGCGACACAAGAATATGTCGAGGGAAATTAGCACGCCATGCTTACGAAAACAATCGAGGTTTGAACAAAATGCAATCGCAAATGCCTTACCGACTTTATTTCTCAGTGGTCAAGGGCCGGGGAAACATCCACATGCATAATAACTATTAAAAAATGAACTGCTTTTAAATTTACATAAATTCATTTGTACTTCTCTGTTTGTTTGAAACGTTAGGCAAGCCAAGAAGTCTGTAATTGTTGCTTATTTTTAACACACAGTGAATAATTTTGGCATCGCTCAATAGCGATGAAGTAAACAATTGGTTGAAATTTTACGTGTAAACGTTTAAGCAGAAAATACATTAAAGCATAGGTTTATTGCGTGTTTAGTTTTACTTAAAAATTAGTCTGACTTTACCAGGTATTGCAAACTGAGCGGAAAACCCAAGAATGTATGTGACCAACCACTATTTGGTTTTATACATACGACATTGAATGGCAAAGATGTAATCTGAAGCGTTTTATGCCTAAACAATCTGAGCAATGACGGTATGATACCAACACTTTTATAGCGCCATCTTAATATAAAGCAACCTGCCCAGTGCCCATCACAAAAGCATTTTTTTTGAAGCAAAAAGAGGGGGGGGGCGCGAAGTTTGTAAAATTTTTCAAAGGGGGGCGCGGCTCAAAACGCCCCCCCCCCCCCTTGAAAGTTACTGTCTACGCCCCTGTATCCAGGTACCTCTGCATCTGCATTTTGCGTTTACATATATGTTTTTAACAACACCACTACACCACTACTCTGCACTACTATAATTTCAGCCAGAATATTAGAATATTCTGACACGTTGTATATAATTTCCACGCGTATATTATCGTACAACGGAAGAACATGACCGAACATTCAATACAATAAATTTTGAAATAGTGTTAAATTACGGCCAACCAAGAGAAAATGGCATTTGCAAAACATGGAGCTTAGTATCAGTTTAATAGGTTATTTCTCAAAAACCAACATCAAAGGCAGTATTACGATATAATGGGGCGATACAAAAACTTATATATTTATATATATATATATATGTTACTACAACAGAAAAATAGAAGCACGTATTGACATGACATTACATATTACCAAACATAGTGCATATTTTGTTTATTATTATATTTTATTTTGTTCACCTGTTTCAGGAACAATTGGGGTGAGACAGATATGAAAAGAGGTTTGTATTTCGACTAAATTTACTAAATAATTGAACAATTACCTTTTTATTTTGTCATACATCAATACCGTAAGTCTAATACACTTGCAATGAGTGACGGAGAGTATAAAATAGCAAAGATATATTTACGTTCTCTTGTGAGTTCTTTGAAAAATTCGAAAAATTATTGCTTTTTAGGAGGCGATTTATTGAAAACTTAATAAAATAAAAGCAATAGTACTATACATTTGGAGAAAAGAAGAAACCTTATGGCTTCAAATTTATTGTTCAATCATTTGGTAAATTTAGTTGAAATAAAACCCCCTCTAAAATATTTTCAGTCTACATTGTTTAGAAATCAGAAAATATATGCCATGTTTGTTATTATTTATGGCTATGTCAAAAAATGCTGTTATTATTCTTCCATTTTCAAAATTTCCGAATGTTTCGTAATGCTGTCTTTATTGAAGGTTCTCTAGAAATCGCCCCTCCAAAAACGATAATTTTTTGAAACTTTTTAAAGAATTCACGGAAAAATGTATAAAAAATTTTGTTTTTTTCATATTCTTCTCAAGTCAGTCCAAGTGTATCAGACGTACACTATTGATGTATAAACAAAGTGAAGAAGATATTTATTTATTTATGAAAAATTTAGTTGAAATACAATACCCCCTTAAACTAAGTTAGGCTACATCTACATTGTTCATAACATTAAAGATATATGCTATGTTTGGTAGTATATATATCCACGTCAAAACGAGCTGCTACTGTTCTGCCATAATATAATCGACTCTATAAGGGTTTTTCTTTTCTCCCGATGTGTTGTGCTGCTGCCTTTGTTGGAGGTTTTTGAGAAATGATTGTCTAAATTCTAAAAACATGTCAATGCGGAAATTTATTCATTTTCAAATAGATCTTGAAAACGCACAAAATTTTGTTATGCACTATTACAGTAGATTTACCCTGTTTAATATATATCAACAAGATTATTAAAAAAATTACCAATTGTTTTACTTTATTTAATATCGTGAAACTAATCAAAATTTCCACTTCCTAACATAAATTGAGTGGGAACATTTTTTACGCGAGGGGATTTATTTGTGATTCTGTCAGCTCCAATTTTGCGCTGTCTTGATAACGTCGCAGATGATGTTTTACCGGCCAACACTAGGATGTTTAACCTTTAACATTACGGCATTTAATAATTCTGTACCTTTGACTTTAAAAATTATAATCTAGTTTAGATCGTAATTAGCAGAATCTCTGAAAATTTATTTCACCGGTAATTGATATCACATAAAGGACAAGCTGGGTAATACTGTGTCAAGTTTTTTCACAATGGATCCGGAAAATTGTGCATCTTATCAAGAGATTATAGCAGGAATACAAAAGAAGGAGTTGATAGTTGTTGATGTGAGAAGTCCCCATGAAATAGAAGGTTCTGGAAAAATTGAATGTGATAGGTAAGAGAACTGTTTTAAATGAATTGGCACACTGCAACTTGCTGACTTGTCTGTCTGTCTGTGTCACATAAAATTTGTTATATCACAGTACAGCAGTGTTTACTCCAGGGAGAGGAAAATTCATAAAATGACTCAATCATATAAAATAGGCTAAACACCGAAATACAGTATTTTCCTCAAATAAATGAATATTTTTGGTGCATTTACATTTGACAATTATTTATCGTACTGATTTTGCATAGGCTAGATTATTTGGGTCTGGTATAGTTAAGTACCACATGCACTTCTAGTTGGCCTGTCGTAACAATTTTTGCATATGTCATTCCTAACCCCCACCTGACTACGCCACCAAAAAATTTTGTCACTACATCGTCACAGTGGCATAATAAAGACCTCCAAAGTGTATGAATGGACGTCCAAAACGCGCAGATGATCACCCAAAATCGAGCAAGCTATTCTCTGGTTTTCTCGTTGCAACGATCCCGATATGAGAGAGACTGATGGCGTTAGTGATTTCGTTATCGTCGGCGCATCTGTGTCGTTTCGGGCGATCGTAGCTATACTTTGGCGAGCTCTATGACGTGATCGTGACCTCGTAGTGACTTAATTTTTGGATGACATAGTCAGGTGGGGGTTAGGAACAACATATGCAAAATTCGTTATGCTAGTTCATTTCGACTCCATGATCGGCATAACAGGTGATAAAATAAAGCTGATTTAATAAGAATCAGGAAAGGTAAACGTTCAGAATATACAGATATAAGATGGAAGGAAATGAAACTCTAATTGTGAGAAAATACTAGGTTCCATATTATGATGCCATTCCAAACTTAAAATTTAAGGAAGTGCCAATATCCTCCATGGCAAAAATTTGTCACTTGACTGGACCGATTAATTTCCATCTAAACTTATGAATTGTTCAACTGTGGCAGAATTTTGCACAATAATAATATTATTATTAACCCTTTCCATGCAATTTTTATTTTTTAATAAATAATCGTATTTGCTACGCCGATTTTATGCATTTGTACCCCCAAAACTAATCGATCGACTAACGAAAAACTAATGATCCTCTGCTGCTCGTTGGGAAGCTTATTTAAAGAGCTTGCAATTGCCGATTAAAAAAAAAGTCTGAGTCACAAACCGGATAGAAAAAAGGCATTTTTTTTCTTGGGAGTTGAAACTTCAAACCGTGATAAAAAATAGAAATATTCGCTAAATCCTTTACTGTTACCGCTTCGTGGTTGGCAAACAATAGCATAATATTGCTGTAGCAATTTGGTGATCTAACTTAAAATACTTTGGTAGATGGAAGGAATAATATGTCTTCTATTACCACCCAAAAAACACCGAAATTTGCATAAATTACAAAAACACTCCCTCGTTCCGCCGCAAATAAAATTCCCGTCGTAAACGAAAGCGAGATTTACCTTCGCTTATGTTAATCTCGAAGAAGACTTCTTATCAATAAACTAAAACCCGGAAAAACTAGACCAACAATTTGCGACCGATTGCTAAATAAAACAATGGAGTACATCAACGTACCCGCCGCAATCTAGCGACTTTTGTCGTTGGTACGTATACGTGCCCACCGCACGGAAAGGGTTAAAGGTTAATCCTCAATAGATCAGCAGGCTATGTTTAAATGTCACAAATATTCAAGAAAAAGTTAAGAGGTTGTGGTGTGTAAATAAAGTAATTTAAATATTTTTGTATAAATATATAATGGCTGAAAAATCTCTCATGTTTGTTGAATTGTATCTATATATCCTTCAAGATATGATAAGGCTCCAATTTCCTCTTGCAAATTTGTAAAATTTATAATAGGCTTCAGATTATTAGTTTTCAGTAACTATTTAATGAAAAATATCATTCTACAATACATATTTGTTTCATGTATTTCAGAATACATTTTTAGATCTATGTTTTCACTCTTAAAACACATTTGCTGACTTAGGTATGACCTATTTTTGCAAAATTTGTTGAGGTCAGATCAGATTTTATAGGTTTGCATTGTGATTATAACATATACCATATTCTTCCGTCTTGAATGCTGACCAGTTTAGATGTGGCAATTCTGTACTTTCATGTTTTGCATTAGTATTAATAAACATGGTTGATCATGAATCATGATTTATTGATTATGCATGGTTGATTTGAATACCTGTGGTCTTTCCTTCAGGAATATTCATTACTCTTTTTATCATGAAATTCGCTGTGAATTTTTCTTTTTAAATACTACCCAGGTGGCTGAATATACCAATCGCAGAAGTGAAAAATGCTTTTTCAATGGATGATGATAGTTTCAAATCAAAGTATGGTATAGCCAAACCTAAGAAAGAAGATTCTGACCTAATTTTTAACTGTGGTTCTGGCAAACGCAGTGGTATGGCTATAAACGATGTCAAAAGTTTGGGATACACCAAAGCTCGCCATTATCCTGGGGGTTATGGAAAATGGAAACAAGAACCTCTATAAGTATTATGTGAAGAAGGTCTTGGCTATCAGTCATGGTTATGTGTATTTTGTATATCATCCTGACAAAACATATTTTTCAGTTTGAAGCGTATCAATTTCATATTCACACTTTCATCTTTTGCATTCCATAATTTCTAACTAGTGGAACATATATTTTTAACTTCTTTCGATAATGTTGAGGCTATTGAGATTTGAAATTTCACTTTTAGTTTTTTTCGTAAAGGTTGACAGACTGACAGTAATTTAGTTGTATTTGTTACTTATTTCATGACATCCAAAAAGATATACCGCCCTATTCCTATTAGCTCATGATAGTTTTTGTTTTACATATTTGCACTTCTATTCTCAGGTTTATAGCTCTGCATTATAGTCTTGATTTTTATACAATTAGGAAATTGTTAACTTTATATTGATGAATAATATTATTATTGAGACTTGCCAATTTGTTATACTTTAAACATTGACTTGCCATCCTTTTGCCATAGACAATTAAAAATGTCTATTTAAATAATTTGATATTCTGGCAAGTAAATATCAGTTTAAACTGAATTATTGTGACTGCCTTATCAAATTCAGTCAAAAACAGTTTACATTCAATTTTAAAATATACATGTATTCAATATTCAGAATCAGAAACAAGTTTTGGGTGTGTATAAGCATTAGTACATTCTTCTTCTTTGACCATCCTTGGCTACATCATATATATTTATAAATTATATGTATTTTATGACATGTGCAGTCTAGGCTTGCACGTAATTGACAAAAATCAATTCCGTAATTACGGCCAAATCGATTACGTAATGACCCCGTAATTGCGATATTTTTTTTCACACTTTTAAACCTATCATAACAACCAATTTAATCCACATCTATTCCGAATGGGACATCGACAGTTGGGACAGTTTGGTTTTCATATTTCCGCCAGTACTACATGCCGGCGACAGATGCTAAAGACAAATATCAAGGAGTGAATTCAAATTAATTTTATTCTGATTTTTATCTTTTGTGTTAGCTTTAATTTTCCTTTATCAACTTTATCACCCAATTTTATGCGATCAATTTCATCATTACCAACACTGGTAAGTGGTAATATATTTATGAAACGATAGTTGACTTTTTTTAAATCGTATAAACGTATTAATACGAGTTTCGTCTTAAATAAAAATTCCGGGTTTCTAATTTATAGATCAACGACGAGCGTATTCTCTCGTTTGATTATACTTGCGCTTGCCTCGCGACGAAGACTTGTTATTGTACCGTTTTTTTACATTATCCGACTTTACTACCTAGTTAGCATTTTATAATAATTATTGATGCCGACTTATTGACGATATTCCGATTACCATGCTTCATTTTACATTAAATCATTTCGCGGCCTAAATGTTAACATTATTTGCGATAAATTTAGATCAAATATTAATTATTTGCGCATAATTTAACTCCGAAAATACAAAGGTATATCGCAAAACAATGCATTTTGTGACATTTATTTTGCACTCACGAAAATATTAATTTACTTTTCTAACTCAAGTCGACAATCCTATCGGCTAAGATTGACACAAGTTTGGTCGAGTGCCGGTGGTATTTGAGTCGACGATAAATCAAAATAAGTTGCCGCAAGACTTAAAGATTTTGTAAAGACATATTTGGCCGAAATAGTGCGAGGCATTGTGAAAACAAGGCCAAGTCCGGACAGATATATAACGATAAAACCGGTAACAGAACATCAAGATCTTGTAATAGAAAATGGATCTCGCGCAGAATAAACAAGGGAAATCCCGTCTTTTTGTTGTTTCTCTGCCGTCTGAATCGCTTTCCGATGCCGAAAAGACTAAGTTGCGTTGGTTCATTACGCAATTTCTCTTCCGTCGTCATATTTCTGTTTGATAAGCGCGACATTAATTATCACGGCATTTACAAATAGACCATGTTTGGTAAGTTGATCTCTTACATTTTTAAGTCATTTCACCCGAAGAAGTTGAAACCAGGTGTGTTGGCTTCCATCGGTCTCAACACAATTCTATCCCATATCTACGCTTAATATGTACATTTGCCATGCTAGATAAGTTGATAATAGGTTAGTAAATGGCAACGCGTTATGCCTTCTCCATCTGCGTAACAAGAGGGAGAAAAACGGCTGCGAATACCGGAACTCTAACTTCTTCTACTTATTAAACTTTAATTTTTTACAGTCGACGGAATTGACTGCTCTGAAGAGAGCTCGTTTCAATCGCGAAAGCGCTCCACCAATAATTACGAATTTACGTAATTCGTAACTTCGCTTCCGTAACTCGAAATAATTCCGTAATTCCGTAAATCCGTAAATTACGTGCAACTGCACTGCAGTCTCTTTATATCTCTTGATATGCAAAATTACCATAAATATTAGGTTAGTAAGTTACAATTTAAAAGGGTTTTATATGCATTGTTGCATCCTTGTCATATTATTGTCCGGTTCTGACTATGCCATCATGCTGCCATTCATTGATAGTTTTGACTTCATACATATACAGTAAATTTATAACTGATAACCGAGGGAATGAAAATCATGCACGATTTATACAAATATACGCACATTTTAGATTGAACAATTGAATTCGTTAGTAAGGCATGGTCTTTTATGGTATATTTAATTTTTGTTCCGGTTTAATATTTTGTGTAAGCAACATTCGAATATTTTCAAATTTAGGTCAACTGTTGTCACTATAATTTACTTGTATTCTGTGCGATAAGCAACATTACTATAAATATATGTAGCAAACAAATATAGAAAATAACCTGAGAAGGTATTATTCATCTCAATCAGGAAAGAACAAAAAGTATGGGGACCGTTAGGTTACTTCGTTCGGTGACCGTACATTTGAATCCAGGTACATTTGAACCCATGTGTGTATCCGCGGGTTCAATGTATATGCGGGTGCTAAAACCCGTGGGTTAGGGTTAGTATGTCTCGTCATTTTTTCACTGAATTCAAGTCATTTGTCCGTTTGTTTCTTACAGAAAAAATGAAAATAACATTTGACGCTTCAGATGCATTTTTCATCCATGGAAGTCCGAACGATGACGAAAGCTTTAAAGGGAAGAAAAACTTTTAAATTATAATTTTCCAATTCATAAAATTATGTGATAAGGTTTCGGAATAAGTAATCCTCGTGGCTCGTAACATTTTAGACGTAACAGAATATCTTCCTAGGAAGTTTTTTCCTCGGCAATCGGCGAAATGTTATTACGGTTTTATAGATTATGGGATGCTGAAATGTACCCTCGCACATCTATCGAGCTTTCCTTCATTCTTGGCGTGATAGGTTAATTCAAGAATGAAGTTCCCGCTCTAATTTTATACCTCGAGAGCACGATGGAAATGAAATTTCGTGGTATTCCATGCACAGTTCGCTAACAACATTAATCAATACCTTGGATGTCGTGATTTGTATTCGTCAATACTATTCATCACTTTGCACGAATGATATAGTTTTGGACCATGTGAAGTGGAAAATAATTCAGAAGAGCACAAAAAGCATTATTCAATGAAATTCAGTTTGTTCAGAAAATTAAACGCATGTAATTCAAATAAATACAATTTGAATATTCCACCAAACAATTTGAGACCAACTATTAATCCCCTGCAATTTGGCACAACATTGTTTACCGTTTGTTGATAATTTTTTTTATTATGAAGACATCAATCCGTGTTCCCAGATTTTTTTTAATCCCCACTTTTTGTGGATTTCTATCGTTATATATCCTTGATTTACCGCGTTTCATAAATGACCCAAGATACAATTAGAGCATATATTCATGTGAACATGATCTATAGATATAAATATATATATATATGTTTCCTCATGTTGTAAAAGCATGCTTTGTATACCATTGTTTGACAATCATGAAACAAACTCATTTCACTTCAAATACTTTCAGCGGCAGTCGACGCTGATGAGTAGGATTGTGTCAAATTTATATTTTCTCCTACGTCCGCGTTCTGCAATTGGTTGCGAGCGCTATGGCCGCTGTTGTGATTTATTGAGAATATGCTACTGAAGTGTTTCAAAGGTCATGAACCGCAGTTTCTGTTGGAAGGCGCCGCAATGCAAAACTTATAAAAACTATTTTATATTCTACTTCAATAACAACAACCATCTGTTTTTTAGGATTACTAAGCTTTTTTCGCAATCACAAGTTATCCCAGACTCTGCCCTCAGCTCTCTCTTCTCTAAAGATATAAAATCAGCTTTAAAGTTATGGATCACAGATAATCTTTCGAAACTGTACTTTGAGACACTATTGCTGCAATTTAGTATGTATAATTGTATATATATATTAATTAATTTGTGAGACCAAGCTCAATGACTCCACTTCCTTTAGCCCCTAATGTCCACTCTTATGACTAATTTAATATTTTCTATTTGTTACTGACAAGATTCACTTTTACACGAATAAACTTAAAATACTTAGTCGGCTTGAATAAATTTCATGAACCTAAGCTAATGGGGGTAGAACTATTATGAAACGGAAGTGTAACAGTGGAAGTGATTTAAACCTGACAAGACATTTTCAAAAAGGAAGTTTACTAAAGGACAACCGTGAAGATATAGGAATTTGCTACATGCAAGACTGGAAGTTTCCTGGTATAAATATTGTAAACTTCAAATTGTCCAGATATATATATATATATAGCTGAAGTCACTATATTTGAGGTTTGATCCGCAGGATGGCACTGCGCGGTAACAATTCCATCGTCAAAACGTCCATGATACACGAACACGGTGTACGAGGGTTCAAAACAAAGTAGTACAGGTATCTAATGTACCACAATACCGTTACGGTACTGTAGTCTTCCAGACTTCGACTGACCACCAAAACGCAATGATCACGAACGCATACCCATCACAGTCCACAAGGTGCGCAATTTTTAATTATGGTGACGACATCACAAACTAAAAATACGAATCCCCTAATGCCCACAGAACAGTTTTGAAAGTAATAGCCTTCTAGCATTTAATTTTAAATGACGACAAAAACCAATCCTATGCTGGCCACAGCAATATGAAACAACCAAAAGTAATAGCCTTCTGGAGAAAAATACAATATTTAACCGAAAATTTCAAAGCAAGTGGTCCAGCGGTTAAAGAAAAAAGGGATGTTTTCACATAAAGAAAAAATATACTAACAAAATGAAAGACAACAACAAAACGATATATATATATATATATGAAGGACTGACAATAAATAAAAAATTTATAGGATTCTATAGGCTTGCTTAATTACTTCCACGGTAATTAAAAAAAATTGTTAAATTTTGTTTGCGCTTGAACTTTTGTTTGTGTATAACTGTACTCAGAAGTTTCAAAAATCTTGGGTGCTTTGTAAAAAAGTTATGCTCTTTGCAGAATATAATCCAAATTACCTTCTTGGCGTTAGAGACAGACTTGCATCCATTTTTCGTTTTGGGGGATCACCCGGTATATGCATTCAAAATGGAGACCAATAGTTTCACACCAAAGCTTCACAAAAAGTTATTACTTATCTTTCTACTCGATTCCTATCAAACAAAAGGTATGTATTTATTATTTTGATAGAATGAATTTTCTTCCACAAGTATCCAAAGTGTTTTCGTTACTAAAAATTTTAATTTTTTAATTTTAATTTTTTTAAATAAAGGAGTATTCCAAAAATTTGGTTTAATTAAGTTTGAGTACTACTTTTTATCCTTGCTGTCCAAACTATTTGGT